TACAATTGAATATTTTCTTACTCCCCCTGAAGTGCTCACAGTTATTTGAGTTATACTTGAATAGGATTTTGTACAAGAAGCTTTGACTGTGTAATTGCTGTGAGTCTTCAATGAGATATTGACTGAGTGAATCATGTAAAGCACACAGCCTCATAAGTTTGCAGCATAACTTTGCGTCATTCAAGACAAATCTTTAACTTTTGTCTCCAGCATGGTGATAAAACATTTACCTGTTTGCTTTGCTGTCAGCCTTGACACTCACTCTTTTTGCTCTCTTCTAATTTGTTTTGATGAGACGTGCAGAGCTAGCAGGGCTGAATGTAAAAATATAAGAGAGGAAAGGTCAGGTCTCACACTTTCTTTCTTAGATTAATGTGTAATTTTTAGAAGAAGCGAGAAAAATAGCAACCTCCTCTGCAGTAGCTGTTTTATTTTTTTATAAAAGAAAGAGGAAAATCAATCTTCCATATGCTCTGTTCTGGAGAAACTTTCTGACAGTAGATCAGCTCTCACTAAAATGTAGCAGTAATTAATGAAACAGTACAAAGAGAGAATACTCGTAATAACAATGCCCACTTTAATTAACAATCATTTTTTAGGTATGAATATCAGAGATATATGACAATGTGTCCTAAAGGGCATTTTTCACATTGCCCATTGCCCACATTGTGATTTCCACATACTAAGACAAATTACCAACAACTAAATCAACTACAATAAGAAAGTGAAACCTTTGTGATCCTAAGAAAAGTTCAAGAGCGATTTCTTTTGAAAACTATGGCTCCAATGGGAGAAAACTACAAGTGCAGATACTGATGTAGATTTTGGTTTTATGTTATTCCTGAAACCCACCAAAGCTCACTTCGAGAGTCTTTTTTTGTGTTTTTAGTTGAGGTCTCTTAAGTCTTCCAACTAGTTTTCACTCTTATATTTGCTTCTGTCCCTACACATGTACTATCAAATCTCACCGTGATCCTACTTGTTCAGGGACTCACCTCTTCTGCTGAGCCGTGACATTTAGCCTGCAAATGTCAAGGGCAGATGGGATAAGGTGTTCAAAAAACATATTGAAAAAGCTGCAAATTACAAAATATAAAGCGGGCAGCATGAAACACTGTTGAGAAAGGATTTCTCCTCTCCAAATGTCAAAAGGAAGTTTTCATTTTTTGGGAACAATGTCTTTGAGGTTTGAGGTTTGTGTTTGGTTTGCAAAAACATCAGCGCAGGTGAAGGTGGTACATGTGAAGGCAAACACCTCCCCCACATTGTTAAGTTGTACAGTGCAATAGCATCTACTGTAAACTCAGAAATATGACATATTATGAAAGATAAAGATGCTACTTTGAACTGCAACTTTGAAACCGCATAGAAAAAAGAGCTACATGGCAGAATGCAGGTCGTCTGTTAAAGTAATTTTGTTATTTACTTTCCTTACTGATAAGGTCCGGACAGTTTTAACAAATGTGGAGTCTTGAGTCATGAGTCTTTATACCTACATTGACAACAGATGATTGTTTTCATAGATTTTGGCTGTACAGCAATCTACAACATTTATGATGTGCAATGTTGCCCAAGACACTTGATGACTCACATTAAAACAATAACAATGGAGCAGAAATAAATTGGGCTTTCTGTGTAATATCTTCTAATGCTTCCTTTGAGAGCATTTCTGGTGGGTTGGTGAATGGAAAGGGTTCAAAGATGTATTTGGATAAAGGCTCAGTAAATTAAACTGAACAAAGCGCCCAATCAGTAGAGATACATTCCCTGTACATTTTTGCTCATAAGCTCTACAAACCGAAAGATGCATTTGCCAACCCCATTTGCTTTGCCGGAGTTGTGGCAGCGCAATATTTCTGTTTCAGGATGACATTACTTTTAAAGTCAATGTGCAAGTCAGTGCTCTCATTTGTTAATTTAATTGTCTTGGTTTCAAACCACCAATCCCATCATTCTTTTTAATTAAGATCAAACTCTTATGAAAAACACTTTAGCCTGGAGCCTAGTAAACTTCAATCACAAGCATTTCAACAATAACAGAACATGAGCTAGTGCTGTTTGTAACTTTTACTATGCAATGAAAAATATAAGATTTCACTATTGCATGTTTTTCTTTTTTTATTGTTATTGTTATTTTGTGTCTTGTCTTGTTTTTTGAAAGCTATAAAAGAAAGAGCGAGAGAATGGAACACAGAGAAAAGATTAAAATAGATTGATTTTGATAAAACAACACGGCTGAAGATTTTTGTCAGTAGAAAATGTGGAAGAAAATGAAACAACAAAGAAACAGAAATGGGAATCAGAGTATCCAGTAGACTTTGGTGTCTCGATTGAGGGCTCTCATGTCACTGAAAAAAAACAAACACAGGAAGGGTAATAGTGTTTGTTGCACGGTAGCCTCTGGCAGGTTTTATGAAAAGGTCAAGGATGCATGATTGAAGTGTAACACGCACACACATAAAATACAGGTGTGGGTTAGGAGAACATCAGATTTATAGAAAATGCATTAAAATATTGTCAAGCCCAGGAAGAGAGAAAGAAAGACAGAGTGGGAAAGTCAAGAGGAAAATACAAGAAAGTCAGTAAGCAAAGAAAATCATAATAGAAGAAATTCACGACCTACAGACAACCTCATGTATCAGTCAGACAGAACCAGAGACAGATTATAATTCACATGTGAGGTGAGCCAAGAATCTGAGAGACTGGAAACCTCTTTCTGCCTGGGTCTGTGTTAGCTGAGCAATTTTCTCATCCACAGTATTTTACATACTGTCTTGTAAAATGGTATAATGGTATATAAACCCATGTACAAATTATCATATAATACTGCTTTATAAATAAAAACTGCACCACATAGAATAACTTACAGGTAATATTTCATTCGATATTTACTGAAAAGATTAATGAGTCTTATGGTTAAGCTTATTGTTTCCTCTTCAGCATGTCATTCTTTTCATTTATGTGCACGTTTCAAGACTGACAAAGACTGCGGGGGCAAAGTTGGACAGATCGGAGGAAGAGCACATGGTGTGAAAGAAATTGCTGAAATGACCTTTTTGGTTGTCTTCCACTTCACATTACACAACCCTACAATTTTCTAGCCCCAGCCCATCATGGAAATCAATACTGCAGCCATTAATCAAACTCTCAGAGGATTCCTCCAAAAGTGAGCTGTAATAGGTCACCTACTGAAATAACTGGCAGAATTGAGATTAAATCTTACAAATAAGTTTCTCCTTCAGTTGTTTTTTGCTGTGGTATAAAAAGTGTGAGGTTGAACATGCCCTCACTAAGCGCAGGTGGTGGGGGTGGTAGGTGTTTGGAGGGTAGAGAGAGACAGATTCAGTAAACACACAGACATGCTTGTAATCAGGCTGCCATTGTTTGAGAGATCTACAATTTTCTGCACTGATATGTCTCCTATAGCCAACTGAGGAACTAAGTGGGACTATTGATTTAAACAGCTGTATCATCACTGAAAGGTTGTCATCCTAGTACTGTATTCTGGCTTGCCTTTTCCCTTTACTGGATTTTGTAAAGGTTAAGAGTATCAAATTGTGTAGAAACGAATAGGTATGACAATGTTTGTATTCGATAAAAACTCTTCAGTAAGTTTTGCTGCACTTGTTAAGGTGAATCAACCAAAATGTTCTTATTAGTATCTTGGGTTTTGTTTCACATCAATAAAGTCTTGCACCAACTGTGTAAGAAGTATGAAGCACAGAGGAACAACCATCTTGGATGCCTTTAAGAAAAACACAAAGAATGAGTGCAGTTTCTTTGGTACTTTATACCATATAAAGTCTCTGAAAACCCATAAATCACATCCTAGCTAAGCAGACTACTGTGAGGGCGTGTAGCTATTGTGCATGATGGACATCTTTCCTACCTCCATCAAAAACTTTGTTTGGTTTGTGTTTTATTTTGAAAATTCACTGCATGTGTCTTACGTTGATTACTTCCTGTGTCTTTGTGATCACATGTTTGCACCTGTGTCTGGTTACCTGCTCCCCCTGCCTGTTCACTTCCCATGTACTCCCTTGTTTTTCCCTGAGGCTTTTTGACTTTGGATTTCACCTGCGTACCTGTCCGCCAGCCAAAGCATCTGTAAGCCTGTTTATTCTCATCAAAACATCTCACCTGATGTGTGCTTGTGTTTGAAATCCTTAACCTATAACATTTGAACCGTGGACCCAGCAGGTAGTTTGTTTGAAGATGGACACTATGATTTGGTTTATATCCCTTTTTTGTGCTGTTTTCATGTCTCCATAAATGTATGCTGTTCTGCGTTTGGCATTAAGTGCCTTATGAATTAATAGACCCACTGGTTTTCCAGCCAGGCTCCTAGTGTGCTGCGTCCCAGTGGGCGAGCCTCCATCATGCTAGCCTTTAGCATGCTAGTCACCAATGTAGGCCTGATCCTGAGCACTTTCCTTGGGAGATTTCTAGGGATCGGATTGCCTTGAAAAAGGTTTGGGTCTTAGAGACGTTTATTTCCCCCAAACTGCCCAGCGACCCAGAGCCTCCACTACCCAGCCCCACGATCGAATCCTGGTCCTAACCCCCACTAGGACTTTCATTTGGTCGTCCACCTCAATCTGCTTTCGTCTGCAGATACCAGGCTGGAGTCATTGCTATATTTAAGCCTTTTTTCTTTCTTTCTTTGAATAGTCTTCTTACTTTAACCTAAACTATTATATTTCCTTAAAACAAAATATCCCTCAAACTAAGCAGTCAGTGACAGTAAGCTGACTTCAGAACAAAACTATACACCACTATAGACTGATGCTCCTTGTGTAAAGACATGGTTTTCCCTCCTCTTGTGCTGAATGTAGGATTGCATTTAGGTTACACTTCCATCTACTTGTGACTTATTTTGTTTAGAGCAATTTGCGAGGTGTCATTTGAGCCTCTTAAAGAGAGAGAGGGGGCTCCACAGTCACTTCAGAGAGTCAAGCTTCGCATGTTTCATGTGAATCTGCAATCAGTGGGAGGAAAGAAAAATGTAATGTGACAAAAACATGCCTACAGGGTAACTACAACCTATATAGTGACACAAGCTTAAACCAGAATTCTGTAAATAAAACAAAATAACAGTCTACAAAAGAATCTTAACTGCTCTGGTCAGTTTCTAATGTAATAATTATAATTATCAGTATGAAGGCCAGAAGTTGAGCTGTGTAAGTTAAGATTGTGATTAAACCATGCAACATATGTGCACTAAAGTCAAAATGAATTAATTGAGTTTAAAAGTGCTCCTCAGGCCTCTATGATAGTGATTTTCATCATGTGTAACAATTGTTTCTCTCTTTATTTTCCAGAAATCTGCTGGATAAAGACACATTTTCCAAGTCAGATCCATGTGAGTATGTTGTAAAGGCTGCATGTGTCATATCTTTACTGATGCTGAACTGTTTTTTTTTTGTTGATTGTGGTTTTTTGTTTTTTTGGCCATGTTGCGCTGCAATTTGGGATATTTGTGTTTTGCTCAGAGGGCTGTGCATGTTTGTTCACTGTACTGAGGCTCTTACACTGATTTCCCATTTGCAATCTTCCTGCTTTTCTCTGATCTTGCTCGCTCACTATCCTCTCATTTTCTGCTTTTCTGGCTACTTATTCTCTTTTTTGCAATACTTCAGCTCTGTGTTTTCCATATTTTTTCACAGTATGCGTGCTCTATACTCAAGGTGTGGAAACCAAACAGTGGAGAGAGGTGAGTGCCCCCTGCACGCACGCACACACAAACACACACACACACAAACACACACAGCTACTACAAGCACATGGTGAGCACAGCAAGAACTTAATTGGATGCCCTTTTATCTTTTTTATATGCGGTTGCAACTGTGTGTGTATGGCTGAGCCTCTAGTCAAGGCAATGTTTCACTGCAAATATGCAGTTGTTGGCTTTAACATTTCATTAAAGCTGTTCAACTATCAGTTGTCTGAAATTGCCAGGAAATATTCACTAATTAGAGACTTCAACCAACAAAGAAAACCCCCCGACAGTGTAATGATCAATATGTTGGCTTTTTGAAGACTAAACGGAACACAGGGGAGGCATTCAACCAGCTCTTACTGTGCCTTGTTTGGTTTAATCCATGAAGTCTAATACTGTCTATGCTCTTTGTTATCTGACCATTCTATCTGTTCATCCTTTAGATTTTTCTGCAGGTAAAATAACCATGAAATGATAGGCACTAAGAAATGTACTATTATAGAGGAAATCTGTACGTTTTCTTTACATTAATGTCATCGCCAACTGTGAGACTGTCGTTGAAACAACTTAAAGGGGTTTAAAGTTTTAAACATGTTAACATTTCCCTCTTTTGCTTTTTTATATGACAGGAGACATATTTTGAGCGAAATAGGTATTCAACCTCATGGCTCAGTCTCTCCACTTAAGGGAATGTTCACATATATGCAAATGCAGGTGAATAATGGCGGTCAAAGTTCACCGAAGCTGAACTTCATGCAGAGATGATTTGTGTCACCACAGGAAGGGAATGTATTATCGCCTCCTTGCTCTCACAGATTGGACGTGAACAACAGGGTAGCATCTTGCTAGGGGTGGGTCCATCTTAGCATATTTATAGCTCTGAAATGAGGAGGAAGGTGTAGTTACATTTAAGCCAACGTTTCCAGGACAAACCTTTTGAATATGTAATTTTGAATTATAATGAACAAAAAGTTGTCAAACATGGTGCATGGCTCATACTGAAAACCTTTACTCAACCTTCACTTTCCACATCTAATTTGGTTATAAAGCCGGTCTAGGCGATAAGTAGATGCTGTGAAAGCATCAAAGCGGTCAATGAAACAGAAAGAAATGTCAACAGCTGATATTCAGAGACAGTGCTTTTTAAACGAGCCATCATAGAATTGCCCTTCAGGGACAAATGAAGTTGTTTGGAATTGAATTGAATCAGCATTTGTTTGATGTGACAGTCACCACCCTCTTTTGGTTTGTGTTGTGTATATTTTATTTGATTTTAGTGTCCATGTGGGTGATTGTGTGTGTGTGTGAATACTTTGAACACACACACACACACACACACACACACACACAGTCACACAAACATTTGAAACATCAAACAAGATACAACACAAACTAGAAAATATCACACATTTACATATGCATGAGTATATGCAGCTTTCCATAACAGAATGTAGACATATCTGGTGTCAGCCCCTATGCTTGCTGCAAAATATCAGTGCATGACAGTCGCCACATGTTTTTTCTTTAAGACCTGGTTCACTTTGAATGTGTAGTTGATCTTAACTTAATGTATATCATTATATAGTCAGATGACCCTCGTCTGTTACTTGTGTCATCATTATAACAAAACAGATGGCTATGTGGGCTTTCATTAAAACTTATCCGAGGAACCACGGGGACCCTGTTGTTCTTGTGTTTGTGAGAAACTGTGCATATGTGTATGTGCTTCATGCATAGGCGTATGCTTATGTAAAGATTTGCCATCATATATTATGACACCCACATGGTGGTAAGCCAGGCTGTTAACTAAATCAGCATAATGAGTGTTTCACGCTTATTTTAAAGCCAAATTTCACTTAGCTCCACCATATTGACAGATTTCCTTCAACAAATCATTTAAACCATTCGTCTCCTTCAGGAGAACCGTCATATTGTTACAGAGGAATCAATATTGATGTGGCTCCAGGTGAAAGTGTGGGAGCAGGCCATGCAACGCCAAGTAGGTGACTCACCAGGGACCTTGAGGTTTCAAGCAATTTCTTGACAGGAGCACTTAACACTGCGATCAAGCTAAAGTCACATTTAATGCTGATTTCCACTTCCTGCCCTATTTGTTCTTGAAGCCATTTTTTCTGTCATGTATATATGTAGTTTGTGTTTTGTTTGTCTGAAGATCAGGGGAATCTTAAGGATTTTTGACTAACAAGTGTGCTCTTCTTTTCCTTGTTGTGTATACACTCAGTGCTTTTTTTCTTGACTTGGTTTGAATATACTTTTATTTTATGCTTCTGTTGCTTGGAGTTTTTTTTTCTTTTTTCCATAGGCTTGGATTTTCTGGCAAATTGCAGGAAGTCTAGGTAGCATTAAACAACACAAGAAGAAGAATTAGTGACATGTTTTACCTGTCTCTCCAGAAACCGAATTACCCAGACTCACAAGATCGCCGGCAACATGTATCACAGACATTAAACCTTGGTTACGGACCCTGATCCAGACTTTCCTGTGTCAGTCATACACAGAGCAGTGTATCAGTAAATCATAATGTGAGGGATTATTATGGCCTCACAGCCCAATGCTGATCCTGGGGGCTTAAAAATACCCTCATTAGTTTCACCTCCATCTTTAATTGCAGCACAAACTGTAGCTCAAAGCCATAGTTAAAAGTAAACATTTGGAAAACTGCAGCTTGAGTATTGAACTACTGTTGTTACGAGGAGAGAAATGGTGAAAAGCTGTGATAAGATATATGATGCTTTAGAGAACAAGAGAGAGAGAGGGTGGATAGTGCCAATTTACAGTGGGTCTAGGGAAATGTGACATGGTTGACCTTTCCCCTCTTTCTTCCAATTTGCTTTTGACTTCATGCTGGGCTTGCTCTCTCTATCGCTCTCTCGCTCGCTCTGTTTCTATGCATCATATATGATATGTACACAATCACAACTCTGACTCAAATCTCAACCAAACTTTGGGAATTATTTTCCCATGAAGCCACACAACTTGTGTGAGTAAGATAGAAATGGTTTCTAGTTGGTTGTGCGGCTTTCTCTCCTCCATCGACAGCTACAGTAGCTGTCCTGGGGGATTTCCAGTATTCATGTATGTTTCGCTTTCTTTTTCTTTGTGGTTTTTTTTTTTCAAATGCGCCCCAGTGCTTTTTCAATGAAAAAGAGCTCACTCCCAATTCACAGATCCATCATATACCTCTCTGTGGGAACACTAGACTCCACCAAGCTCATTATATCTGCACTATGTCACCGTCTACTGAACATGGTGCAAGGAGGATAACAATCCATGTTAACCAGAGAACTATACAGGACACTCAGATGACACAAATCCCCAGCTCTGGTTCACTGATTCTCCAGGGAAGAAGATAATTAAATTCTTTGTCAGGTTTGGAACAAAACCCCCACAAAGATAATGAAGGATTTGACTTGTGTGTTGTCATCACTCTCCTGGGCTCCAGCTTTTATTTAACACCATGCACTAACTCAGAGTGTGTGTGTAAGTGATTTATTCTGTGTCTGTGGTTTAAGGACATGTTCACATTTCAGTATTAGACATTACAGGTCTCTATTGTATCTGTTATAAGCCTGAAGGGTTCAGTTTTTCCAGTGTGTATGCAGTGCTCTGTTTGTGTTCGTGTGTGTGTACATGTTGAGGGTGCAGGTCAGAGACTTCGTGCCAGCTTCTCATTAGCCAGCTCCAGCATCCCAGCATCCCAGCATCCCAGCAATATCTAATGAACTCTGCGGCACAATATCGCCTCTTCCACTCAGCAGGGAAATCACATTATGGAGCTCATCGTTGGCTTCACCCGTGTCTTTACTGCCATAGGCTCACAGCTTCATCAACACCTCAGGCTCCTCTCGAAAGCTCGGGTGGATGGCACACACGCTAAACACCAGTGTCTTTTTCAACTGGCTGGTGCTAAATTAAAGAATTAAATTTAGATTTTGAGTAAGAGAGGTCACATACAAAATGTACAGTTCATAGAGGTGTTCATCATAATGTAACAGTATTAAATAGCTCTAACAATGTTTTATATGTATTGTTTTTTCTGCACGGATTGAAAAGGCGGGATTTGCTCACACATCCACCTACAGTATCTGCCATTATGGAAAAACAAGATCGACGACGACTTGATATTGACTTCTGTGACATTGATTGAAATTGTAGTTATGGGTATATTTCTAAAAAAAATGAAGCATATTTGTGTATGATGATGATTTGACACTTTAGACATCTTTGTTATCGAGGCACAAGACAACCTGTGATGTTTGAGAGCCACTTATTGCTGCAATCCAGAGTTTGCTCTTTATAGTTAAACTTAGTATAGAGTGTAGTTTATCAGTATATTATCCTTATCTACCTCACTGTGATTCATGTTTCTGTGTTACACCAGCCCACAATCTTTCCCTGATATAAATTAAACCTAATGCTGTCTGTGTCTAAACTGAGCCATATAAATTTCAATAATGTTGCTGTCACAAGTAATGACTGGGAAGTTGAGAACCTTTTTATCCCTTCAGATCATTGGAAGACATGGGAATAACAAATCAACCCATACTTCCTAAGCTGCATTTCAAATGTTGATGTTCTATATTTATTCAGCACCTACTGTCATCTGAAGCCATTCTTTATGCTTGTGTAAAACCAGTGCTAAATAACTTCCCTGTATAATAAAAAAATATAGGTTTAAAATCATCTCTATTGATTTAGATGGAGTATTTGAATAAACATAATAATTTATGTATATACTTTATCACACACTTTAAACTCTTGATCAGCTTTTCATACAGTATATGCATGTGTTGCTGCTGCTGGGTCTCTGCCAGCATTTTCTCTGGCACATTTCCTGGCATTTGGCACTTTGGGAGTTAGAATCCCACTAATTAGGAGGCCTTAATCACTGCCTTTCTCTTCCTCTCCCTTCCCACTCTTTTCCCACTCCCACTCCCCCGCCTCCCTGCTGTACACCCCCCTTTCTGTCCCAACCCACCACGCCAGATTTGCCCTCTTTTTTTCACTTCCACTGATCTACAGTATATACCTCCTAAGCCATTTTCCTCAATGCTCTTTTCTCTCTCTCCGAGTCCACCCATGTTGTTTCTTTGAACACATTGTTCTCATCATGTCTCTCATCTCTCTGTGAGGTTGATAAGTGCGTTATCCTGCTGTAATTAATGTGGGATGGCAGCGAGGATCAAGGAGAAATCACACCCATGGTTTTCTTTGCACAGCAGCGTTTGAATGCTAATCAAACCTCTGTAAATGTATGTGATAATAAGAGAGAGAATGAAAAAGAGAAAAAAAACAGACAGCTACTCACTGCATGTATTTATCTGTTTTAACTGTTTTGTTATCTTGCTTTTGCTTCCATCATTCCTCTCTCCTCCATCTCATTTTCTCCATCCTTCTACAGTTTGGCAGAACGGAGGTGATCGACAACACCCTAAATCCAGAGTTTGTCAGAAAGTACATCTTGGACTACTTTTTCGAGGAGAAGCAGAACCTTCGCTTTGACTTGTGAGTTGATTTTCTTTGACGTCAGATCATCATAGTATTTCTCTCCTGCCCTCAGCCCTTCTTCACTGTGATGTAGTTTCCCCCCGCTCTTGTCTGTGCTGATTGTCAGCTCCACTGCTACAGTTAGCATGTGCTGCGTTCTATTGCATTATTACACAGTTCAACTATAGACTGTATTCTAATACAAGTAAAAAAAAACAAGGTTGGCATCTTCAGGAAAACCTCTGTTTTGTTTTTTGTCTTGCCAGCAATAGCAGTTATGCGCACTGTGTATGAATGTAGCACATACAAACACCATAGCAACAGGATCACTCAGAAATTCTGACCTTCCAGTTCGAATAGAATACTTCTTGACAAGCCCTTCTTATAAAGTAATTTGAAAAAGCTTAAAAGCTGTAAAATAGTTGAGACACACAAACACAAACTGTTACATTTAAAACCAAGCATCTCTAAGAAAACACAGAAAACTACGTCTGGAAATTAATTTGGCTTTGCACCAAATTGCACACACTCATAAATATCAGTTTCCTAATGCCTGATTTAAAAAAAAAAAAAAAAGATACCACCAAAGAAAACAAGCCCTATCTTGGAAGGGGGGGAAAAATCCTAGATCTGCCCCCAGATCTTTTCTTTCCTGACTCACACCACATTCCTTCACCATGTTTGGTGGTAATCTGTCCAGGAGTTTTTGCACAATCCAGCTTACTAACAGTAAAACAAAACAAGGAACACATAACCTCCTTGGCAGAAGTAAGAAATTAGCATTCAAATGTTTCAGCACCAAGGACAGCACTCCATGTGCATCAACTGATGAACGGCTCAGCTGGATCTGCACCAGTGCTGATGCACAGCCGTGCTCACTGTCTGCACTGTTGCTTCTTCCCCAATGCTACTCAACACATGGAGAGTGTGCTTATGTTTATTTCTTAGAAAAATCAAAGACTTTTCCCTCCAAAATAATGTGATTTTCATAGTCATTTGACAGATCCCTAGTTTTAAACAAACTTATTTTCCTGTCTCTCAGTGCTGATTTCTCAGTCCAAATGAATCTCTGTCTGACATACTTTTCAAAATATGTCAACATCATCATCTTTTCTATATTGCATTGACCAACTTAAATTGTTAATGCTATGAATATTTTCTTCAGCTCTGTCATGGATGCAGTTGATTCCCTTTGACTTTACACAAACAAACATGGCCTCAAACCACTTTCAGCAGATTGACTCTTAGTGCCTATAACCTCCATAACTGCACCATCAACTAATTTGAAGATACTAAGATCTTGTCTCTTTTTTTTCTATCTTAGCTCATTGAAAAAACATTAAATTTGAAATCTGAAATCTGTCTTAACTCTCACAGGATCCTTTTTTATACTGTAATATAAATTTTGCTATTGCAATTATGTCCTTAATTATTGCATATTTTCTTTCATTAAATTTTCAGTTTGTCCTCTGTTCTTTTTCCTCCCAGTTCCTACTCTGCTACTTTTCCCTGTCCTAGATGTTAGAGTTATAGTCATGAAATTTAAAAACAAACAAAAGCCTCTGAAAAGACAGTGTATTGTACTGAGAGTATCTCCTTTCTGCTCCCGCTGATGACAAATCACCAGGTTTTGTTTTTAATCTCTCATTAAAGAGCGCAACAATCACTTAGATAAAAAGCTCCCGTGACTGTTTTTGAAGTATGTCTTTGCTGCTTTCCTTTTGTTTCCTCTCAGGTATGACATGGACTCCAAAAGTCCAGACCTGTCCAAACACGTGAGTACACATGGTTATTTCAACCCTAAACCACAGATAAATGGAGGCCAGTCTGGAGTCAGATCTGAATTACTGGATAATAATTTTAAAAAACTCCAACATGATTTGAGATTGGCCAAACCCTTTTATCAGTTGTCTTATGTTTGATTCTGTATGTTGTAACTGTGTGTTGCCTGCTGCATGATTTTACCCTGATGAAATAAAGTAAACCCTTCTATTGCCTGATCACAGAAGTGTCCAAATACTGTTTGTTTTCATTTTAGACTTAGACTCATCTATGTTGTAGTTCATATAAATGAAATAAAAAAATTTGATAAGTTTAATTATCTTATATAGTCTCATTTTTTGTTTGTCGTAGTAGTGGCACTGCATTAAGGCATTGTGCAATAAGTTGCTGTACAATCAACCATGTAGAAACATACAATGCTTTTAACCATTTGTTTCCATTTCATGCCGTATTAGATTTTATTGTTTCACTAGCTAGTTTTTTCCTCAAGGCTGGAAACTATGGTGACCAAAAGCATTGACAGAAGAAAATAATCCGCTCTGGTGATTATTTGATGTACATGTATTTGGATGAACTGGGTTTGCATTTTTTCATCAATTCTGTGCTTAGGGTTCGCTTTCCGGCAAAGCATGTGTTGTCTCGCCACTCTCATGTTATGAACTTAGGAGTGTTACAAGTGCTTTTCAGAGGTTTTCAGTATGGTGTTGTGTTTTTGGTATATGATGTGCTCTGTTGTTGTTATTGTTGTTGCTGCTGCTGCCCAACCTTTCTGGAAGCCTGCAGAACTCAACGTAGGTCCCAGCATCTCTCTCACTTATGACACTGCATGGCTGCTGTCTCACGTTAATGATCCTTCTCTCAGGAGGAAGGATGATGTCACTGATCAGAAATAAACAACTGAGACAGGCCGAGCTTTCTGTGCAGCTCTTCTATCATTACAGTCTCAGAGGAGTCCACAACGGCCGCAGTAAAAAAGAAAACTGGATCTGCACCAAAATGTAACGGATGCTTCCTTGGGTCACGCCCTAGCCGTTCATAAAATTTCATGGAAATTGGTTCATTCGTTTTTGAGTAATCTGGCTGAAAGTCTGACAGAAGGACAAACAATCAGCAATGAAAACATAACGTCCTTGGTGTAGGTAAAGAGATTTGGTCTGTCTTTAGTTTTGTCACATGCCCTTGTGCCATGATGAAAATGGTGAGATTTTCTTGGCTCCTTTGTGTAACATGGAGTGGAATTAGTAGATATCACACATCAGAGACTCACTGAAACGAAAGACACAAAAGCCCCACGTTGAATTATTTAGTGCCTGCTGCCTGCCAAACGCTACTTTTGGTTTGGATTGTCCCACATCCCGGCTGTGAATAGTTCAAAAAGGACTATATCAACACCAAACCTGATTTTTTCATCAGTTCTGGGTGATACAGAGAGATGGTCCAAGTATATTTTATAGATGAAACCGACTTTCTTTAAAATGTGTTTACATTCATGTCCCAAAGGTTATGAATCATTTTTTGTCATTGGTAATGGTTCTTTAAATCCCTCCATCTTATCACGTTTCTGTTTTCCACCTCAATCCAAACATTTGACTTTAGTTCAACAAAATTGAGCAGATCACATTCATTATGTTTTTAAAGAGAAGAAGGAGAAAAAGTGAGAAGGGCATGAATGCTGTCTAGATGTCAAGTCTTTGTTTCAGATGCAGCATGCAAGCGTTATAGAAACGGTGTCTTGTGACACCACTACAATCCTCATCTTTTTCATCGAAGATGTTGCAACAGAAACCAAGTTTTCTTTTGTCTTCATTTGTGGATGCACAGACTCAATTTATGGAGCATGAGACAACAAATGTCTTTTGAAGAAACAAATACTTGTAGTTATCTATTGCACAGTTCCTAGTGATGGTAGAGTGACAGGAATATTCGTGAGTTCTGTTTTCAAGCTTGACAATAGTCTAACATTGAATTGTTGTCTTTCTACTCTACATTTGCCGTCCTTCTTTCCATCCCTCCTTCTTTCATTCCAGGACTTTTTGGGTCAGCTGTTCTGTACTCTTGGGGAGATTGTTGGATCACCAGTCAGTCGACTGGAGAAACCACTGGGGTAAGTCAGAGCCTCAGCTAATTTCTGCGCTGTCTAAATACCTCTGACTCCAAATGTGATTGAGGAACACCATACTGTGCAAAGAGCTGAGAAGGGAGAAAATTGCTTTGGAACCAAATAAAATGACCATTTCCAGGTATACTTCATTTGTTCTGTTACTTTTATGGAAATGGTCTGAAGTAGGTGTTAATTTGTTTGTTAGAGGATGAAAGAGAGGACACAACACAGAAACTAATTTCAGGGAACAGAGAGTGTGAGTGTTGAGGAGGAAAAAGAGGAACGGGTGATTTAGAAAATGAAAAGGAGAAAATTCATTGATCAGACAAAGGACGAGCGGGAGACAACTCCTCCTGTTTTCTATTATTGTCCTTGAAGAAAAGGGTAAAGTGCCGAGTAAAATTATCCAAATTACTGCTCGTCTCCAAGGCTTGTGCTCTCACATGGGCTGAGAAAAATGTCCTGTTAATGTATTGTTATACATCTTTCATCCGTCATCATCATCATTAGTCTGCTGGGCTCTTAGAGATTTCAGATGAAAACTTTTTAATGTTGCATTCAGTGAGATTTACTCTTTCGCAGGTCTTAATGTATTT